TTTTTAAGTATTTGTTGAAATTTTGTAAAAAACTGGATAATTATAAGGCATAGACTAATTGAAAAGTTTTGCCTAGTTACTGCTTTGTAACATTCGTCTACTGCAGTCACACATGAGGCTTAAGAAAAATAGGCCCTATAACATTTGGCTCAAGAGTCAGGGACACTATCTCTTGTGTTTTTGTACCTCAAATCAGTCGGAGCCAATTCGGTTCGCTTGTGACATGAGACTACGACCCGTTACAGCTTAAAGGCTACTACTAAAATATCCCCCCACTCTAGAATTAGAAACGTCCCCATACTTAGGTCTCTAGATACCCAAAATACATGAACGCCATTAAAAACCGGGTTGGAACAATCCGTTAAGTTACTTTTTATTAGACAGTGGAACTTTGATCCATTTCAGATGGATCAACCTAAAACTCGCCTTACCTCAACATAACAATTATAAAACACACTCTAGAAATTTAAATTAGTACTCACATTGTAGCACGCTCAAGAACCAGGAAGTAAATAAGTCGGTGAGCAACTCAAGAATCAACAAAGTAACTAAATTGAGTTTAATGTTAGTCAGTTTCAATAACAAGAACAAGTTTTTACTCTAGACTGTAAGTTCTCGTGAACCATTGGGACACTCTAGCTGTCCACTTTTCCACCGAAGGTTCACTCTGGTCCAGTTAATAATAGTACTCCAATCACAACAATCCAGTTCGTGGGAATGCGCTCGTCTCTGTTTTAGATGGGACAGCTCTACTCTCGATTATTATTGCTACTGAAATTGCGAATAGCAGTTTCCCACTGATTTTTCTAGCAACTTTCCCGCGATTGTCACTCGATCGTTCTGACTTCTCTTTTCTGATTTTCAGTTATCGCGAGAAAATCGTGCATGACAGGTTCCATTCGAAATTTTGAAAAATTTAAATTCACTCCAAAATTAAGTGCTTTTTGCTTCTCTCAAGGTCAAACTTCCAAATATGACCGACTGGCACACTTTCCTTGTTTAGTGCTTGTAAGCGTGTTCACAGAGTACTGCATTTTCATATAGATAATGGGGATTGATTTATTCGGAACGATGGTTTTCTACTGTTTTTTGACGATTTCAGGGAAAAAATTGAAACTGCCCTAGAAAAGATTTGAAAATGTATGTTTTTTTTTGCTAACTTTTGAAAACTTCAACCTATTATTATACAACTTCCTCAGCCAAAAAGTTACTTCAATATAAAAATTCAGAGTTGAAACAGCAGCATACTTTATCAGGTTGAGAAATCGTTTGAAGTTTTCCAGCAAAAAATTTATGGTTTTAATTCTGCTTCTGATTATTGAGTATTCGTTGAAATGATACATTTTTCCCTCTAAAACCCAATTTTCAAGTAAAACTTTGTTGAAACTAAAATAAGTTGGAAGATAGTAGTTGAAGCAGAAACTGATGAAAAAATACTACTTTGAGATAGAAATTCAATTTTAATTATGAGGAGTTTTGAGATAAATTATTAAAATTTAGTTAAAAAATTATATCTTGAGAAAAAATGCAACATAAAAGTGAAATTATTGGAAATTTTTTATATCATTCTTTATATTAGGTAAATTTGAAAAAAAAATTGAATAAAAATTGGAAGATGATACATGACGCATAAATCGAACATTTGTTTTCAAGATCTACATTTCATTCTTTTGGATGAAAAACGAAAAGAATTGATCTGGAAAGATTTTCAGAGAAAATAATATGAAGCTCGCTGAAAACTTCCAGACAAACTGATACTTTGGCAGAACCAGCTGTATGATCTATGATTTATCTAAATTTTAGCATGAAAAAATTCAGTAAGTAAAGATTTGTTATGGTTAGCTTCAATTTCTTCATTTAGAAATTTACGTAAAACTATAGAGTTTTTCGCTTAATGAATTTTGCAATAGTTTTCAATTGCCATAGTTTGCGTCTTGGTTTCCTTTTCCTATTCAATTTCTCTAAGAAGCGTTCTTTCAGATAGGAACTAGACCCACTCGCGTTTTTCTACTTCCGAAGGTTTTCAGATTAAGAACAATCAAGCTGCTCTTAATTTGTTGTAAAAATTCATCTCAACGTAAAAATACAACTATTTTGAACTTTCGTAGCCGCGCATCTCTACAGCACAAAAAGTACATTGTTAAAGGAACAAAACAAAGAATATTTCGAGGTACCACTGTCTGGAATAACTTTGACGATGAATTTGAAAAATGAGGAGTTGTAAAAAGAAAATCAGTACCCAGACATCTGGACATCAAAAATTGTATATGTTACAATTATGAAGATTCCTAATGAAGCATCAAAAAACCTAAACAGAATAACAGCTGAACTAAATTTTGAGAGTCCAGGAGTTTGTGAACCGATTTTTTCTCTACAGCACAGAGCAAAATTGAACTTACAATCGAAAAAATTTCAAAAATCAAGTTCGGTGTTAGTCATCTTTACAAGTCCGGTGTTAGTCAACTTTCGATTGTAATCTGAAATCCCATTTGGTCTATAAAAACAAATGTAGTGGTTGCAGTTCCACCTTTGTATGGAAAACATACCGACACTTAACCACACGGATAACAGAACATTAAAAGAGTTGATACGGCTGTGTGGCAGCATGTAAGGCATCCGAATGGCGAGTAGGTGACTAAAGCATTGACCCTGAGACAATTTTAAGATTAGAGGCTTATCATATAAGTAAACGGTAGCCCCAAATGAACAAGCTCGACGAGTACAGGAGCCGAGAGGTCACACTAAAACATTTTTCTGACATTGCGCTGGTCAGCTGGAGTCGATATTCATTTTTAAGACATTCAGCTCGAATTAAAACACACTGAATGCGTGAAATATATTATTTTAAATCAAAAATTAAAGCAATTTTGACATGTTTTGGAGAGCGAAATATCTCCAATAACGAAATTTCTAAATGTTTTTTTTTAAAATTAATATGTAATTTGCTTTGTTTTCTAGAAAAGCAATGCTGAACATTCGGAGTTATAAATTCTTCTAACAGTAAACATCTTGACTTTCTCTTGTACATATCTGATGATGCTAGTTATTGCAAAAACCTTTGTTCTGTAAGAAAAATTTATTGTATTTTATTTTCATTCCATTGACTGATAACTATTTTAAACATGTTCTGATAATACTACACGTGTTTAACTAATTCCTCTTTCCCTGAGATGCACGTTGTCGTAACTCAATTCATATGCTTCTGCGTATAGGTGTTTGGTTAGCCCTCAAAAATATTATCGACATGGTTTAGATGCTGCTTCGAGTCTTTGATTTCCTGCCAAGTGACGAATTAGCTTGCGTTCTCGGAAATATTCGTCATTAGTTGGGCTGAATTTCGGGGCGGTTCACCAAATCCTTCAAATTGTTTAATTTTGTGAGCAAATGCCAGATAAAATCGAGATTATTGACGAAATCGAGATAATTGACTTGGCCCCAGACTGAGCGTCTTTTTGAGTCAGTCAATCAATCATCCATCACTTTGTTACGTTGGTCTGCTAAAAAACTCATTTTCACTTTTTGTGCTACAAGATTTGTCTGCTTAACGATTGGTCCCCTCTATTTTTGTAGATGAATGACTGAAAAAACGGAAAAATTAAAAAAAAAATAAACAAATTGAGTTTTTTGCAGAAATTTTTTATTCTAAAATGGCACTAAAAACTCCAAAAGCTAATGTTTTTAAGTTAAATTGAGTTTTCAAGTGGTCGGAAAAAAAGACAATTGTATTGTAGTTAATTTTCGGAGGCACGAATGGCTAAACGTTGCTCACAGTTGCTCCTGGTACAGAGAGGATGTTGATGTTTCTAAACGTTAGGAACCTGGCATAGGAACTTTTTCTGTGTGGATTTTTTGAAGCTAAAGGCCGGGACGTCATTATTTCTTGTATTTAATAAGTAATTATTTGTTGTTGGTTGTATTTGCAAATCGTTTGCAAACAGATAACAGTCGTATTTACAAATGAGATAACAGTTTTACTACATTTTGAGCCGGAGGGCGAGAGCGAATCACGTAATTTTGGAATGTGAACATAAGGTTTTTTTTTCTTATGATGGTGTTTTTTCTCCTGATGTTAGGGATAGACTAGTCGACAGAATCAAACTCAAATCAAGGTTTTAAATCTCAAAAATGCCTTATTGCAGTGCAGGACCATTTTGGACAAAATTCACCTATTTTTTTGAAGATTTTATATCAATCGTGTGGAAATGATCTCTGTTACTTTCTCAGAAATTGTTACGTTTCGGTTTCCGAATTTTTAATAAGGCTTAGGTGAAATCTAACTTTCCCTAACAAACCAAATGGTTTCCGAGATAACTTGAAATTTTTTAATTTTTTTTTGCTGAATTCACTCAAAATTGAAGCAATTATTCAATGCTAATAGACACATGCTAATATCTACGACCCCAATAATTGTGGTTGGAACATTTAGTACTACTGAATGTCACCGGTTACTCTTGTTGTTTAACCACTCTCAAAGAGTGGGGACGAATAATGACGCAGGGTCCGTTTTTTTTTAGGTTTTTATAACCAGTTTTAATTACCTCAAGGTAAGCTCGTAGGGTTCAAGTGTGGTATCGGATCAAAGCTGTATTGGTCGTGACTGGGATTCTGAGAAAAAGTTGTCTGTAAAAAAAACTAAAATTGACGAGAGCTGACCTTCCAATACAATTTTAACATTTTTAACGCTAAAATGTTATAGTTATTTTAACGATGTTATTTCTCTTTTTAACAAATTCAGTCGACCTCTTCAAAAAAGTTACCGAAATTTTGAATAATAATTGAAAAATTTTTTAAGTTTTTAAATTATTTTTCGTTTCGTAGACGGTTTTTTTTTCTAAAGCAAACTTCCTTATTTTTGTTTCAATGTTCGTTTGCGTGCGTTCTGCTATTTTTTATAGCTTGTTTGCGAAATGCAGCTTTGCATGTGTGTAGACTGTAAACCTACTAATTTAAGAAGTGGAATCCAGAGTTGGATATTGTAGTTGTGCTTTGAGATGAAAGAGTTCGAGAGATGGTAATAAATTCTGAATTATTTACTCAAAATATAAAGCATAAATTGCCGTAACTGCAAACAAACTATTATTTGAGAAAGTTGCTACGATTTCTTGGTCGAACTTGGCGTTCCACAAACTGCGAGATCCTAGATGAATACCCTGGTTATCAATCTGACCGATGGTTGTATGTGCTATCAATTTGTAGCGGTTCCCTCCCGCGCAATTGTTCAGCATCACTTTAGCTTGCAGTTTCACTTCCTGTAACAAGCCATACAAGATTTCCGAATGCTTTTTTTAAAATAAAGTATTTGATTTTGACTTGTTCTTGTTTTCATCAATCAATAGTTTGTAACCGAATGAAAATTCACATTTAGCTTTTTTGTTAAGCTGTTTCTTGATAAAAGCGAACCTCTGGGATTAGTTTAGTCAGTTCGCCAAGTTTCTCATGGTCATATGTTTTGCCCTGGAGCATTCGGTGCATGATTGATTCGCTTATCTGTCTCAATTCAGTCGTTGGCAGTGTTCCCACCGGCTCCAGTCGGTAGGTGTTCTCTAGCTTGGGCATCGGAGAAGTGTCTACTTGAGACAGAAGACCGCCTCCTCTACTCGACTGTGATTGGTTGTCGTCCGAATGAAATTCTTCCACGCGAGTGGTTCTAGAGCAAATTATGTGATTTATGTGAGATTTAAGTAAAAGCTCAGGCTCAACCGAAACTCCAAAAATAACGTTTTGCTTCTAAATCACTAGCAGATATTAATCGTCTCAACTAGATGATCGATTTGTTTTCTCGTCCTAGTTGCCACATTTTGATTTTTTTCTGCTCACATTTTTTTATGTTGCTTCTAGTGTTTGATTTATTCCTACAATTTGTAATTTTGCTTCCCTGGAATTGTTTTTCCTTTTTTTGATCCGCACTTTTTAAGTTGGTTGTATTTTTACAACTCGGTTTATTGAAATGTCTTTTTTTTCGGCTTGTTTTATATCGGATTTTTTCCCAGATGATCAATACTACTATGATGGAGTGGTCCCTCGAAAAAAAACTATGATAGACAGGTCCCACGTGTATTTCGCATGAAATAATTTATAAACTAATTTGTGTATAATTTATTTATTACCCTTGAAATAAGCAAGGATATCGCAATCGGGTACAAAACGTTTTTCCCTTGAATAACGTCGTTCACAGGACTCATCTCATCTCTAGTGGTGCATTGTTTCATAAATACTTCAAATTTCTTAGCGTTTCCGGCTACTCAACAAGGTAAGGAATACGCATCGGACGCAAAGGTCCTGGGTTTGATTCTGACGAGGAACTGTCTTTTTTCAAACGGGAAATGTTTTGTTCCAAATAAAAGTTTCTGTCAATTATTTGCCAGCTTATGTTTTGTCGGCTTAATTGCCACATCTTGAATTTTTTTTCTGCTCACTTTTTCTTTTTTCATTCTTTTAGTGTTTGATTTCTTCATGCAATTTAAAATTGTTTTATATCGAATTAGTAGCCTTTTTGCGTCATTCGATGCACGAAAAAGTTTTTGTGGGCCTGTATATGTTACTTAGTTTTGAAAAATTTTGGATTGATGAGTTCTGCTCAGGTATTTTTGGCTTTGTCGCCTTTTGGATAATTTTGTTCCGATGCTGATCTTGCATTATATTGTTTGGGCATGCTTTTTTCACAACTTTTTTTCATTCATTTTGATAGATCTAATTGTATCGATTAAAAATTGTAATTACTATATTGTTTATATCAAGAAATGTGCTGGCTTCAACTTATTTCGCAACACGATTTAGCACCATAATTGGGCTAACTTATTTGAATCAAAACTCAATTTTGGCATTTTTTTTGGAACTTTCTATCTTAAAATGGCGAGGAAAGACGTCTTACGAACTAACGAAACGTTTGAAAATAGACTGCGACATCTTTCTGAATGGCGAACTCATATTTGTTAAACGATTTAAGAGCTCTAGGTGCCTTATTCTCAGTGGACCTGTTTTTTTTTTCAAGTGACCAATATATCATAGTAGTACCGATCAATCATATAAATTTCACAGATTTTTTTATATACCACGTGGCCTGAACTGATCATGAAAGGAGTGTTTTTCCTACTATCTAGGCAGAGTCATAGACATTTCGAAGTTTCCTACTTGAACAAAATACTACGCGCTTTTTCTCTGTTTTATGCACAAACAACACTGTGGGTGTTAATCAGCTTTAATCAGGTGTCAAATTGAATGCAGTCAAGCTAATTGGTCCATTTATGCGTTATTAGGCGCAAGATATATCAGTTGATATTGCGAGGAAAGAAACGAAAGTTTTTTCTTCTTAAATTGGATCAAATTTTAAAGCCCGATGAGATAAAGAGCAATTTCGGGGCGTCATCGTGATAGTAGCTATTTTGCTGACGGAGGTACTCTTCAGGGGAAATGATCTATACGAGTGTCGCTTTTCCCATTATAATAACAAGCAACTACATTCAAGAACGTTTTTTTTTGTCCTTTTCCCCGAATTCTAGAAGGCAGTTCACATTCTTGTAACTGTGGTGAAACTACTCACATTTTCCGTTGTTCCTTAATGAAAGCGTCGAGAGATCCTCGGTACTTATTGTGATGCTGGTGAGTGTTGCTAGTCCGTCGCTGACTCTGACTTAAGTCTGAACAAAACCGTAACGTCTAATTTAATTACTCCACCGTTTTTCTTATTTGTCTACAAAATTAATCATCCTAAACAAAAATTAATCAGCCTTACAAAAATTAATCAGCCCATAAATATTTGGCTTTTAGCTAAAAGCTAGCGAGCAGTAACCTGATTATCAGTAGTTGAGTTATGTTTTCGTTGAATTAAACCCTATAAAATCTTGGGTTTTCGTACTTGCTCTTAGTTTTGAGCAGGCTACTAAGAGAAGCCGAGAATGATAAAAATAAATATGAAATTCAGATTTAGCTATTAGTTTTTTATTTACGAAAATAACTAATGGCGTCCGACATGATATCGGCCAATTACTGCTGAAGGAAGCTGATCTGAAGCCTCGAAAACTTAGAAAAGAGACGATTCTAGCTGTCGGATTTGTGTCCGGATTGCTTCATTTCGCTTGTGGCATTCATTTTGCTTAAGACTAAGATGCATTGCTAGAAAGACAGACAGTTTTTAGTGCAATTTCTCCATCTGGAACAACCGAGTCTATTCTAATTTTACCTGATGGACCGACGCTTGTGCGCCTGGGGTTGCTAAACGAGAATATTGTTTTGAGAATTTGCCTGATCAAAAATTAGTTCAGCAGCCTATTGAGCATTTGAATTTTCAAGAAAATTTTAAGAAATTGGAGTATCAAAAAATGCTTTTAAGCTTACCCGTGCATCTTTTCTCTGGTGTTCAACGTGAAAACGTTTTGAGTACTTCACTTTAATGGCTTGATGGTTGCAATGGAAAACTTGAATGTTTTGACTGAAGTGCACCTGCGCTTTCCAAAGTATCGTGTGCTGCGGCAAACAAGTGCGTGCTATTTAATTCAAATATTTTTCTTTTTAAAGTGAAGGATTATCTTGTTTGTTTTGCCTCTCATCTAATATTTATCCAAGTCAGCGAGGAAACTAAAAGTTGAATAGGAAACGATTGCACGTGCATCTTAAATTTGCTTTGCGAACGGGTGGTTGGGATGGTTATGTTCCAGAGTAAACCTCAATTGTTTCTTAAGCAAATAAAAGTATCCAGCGACTGTGTAAGTAAATGTAGAACAGAACGTTCCGACGACTAAATAATTTTGCGTCTTGTTAAGTTTTCAAAGCGGTAAATTTTAAAGTTTTGTGATGCATTCAGATTTAGTGATTGGAAATGATTTTCGCTCGTTCAGGCTGTTTGTACTTTGGAAAAATTAATTTTGGAAATTGCTTACGCTGGCTTTTCTATTTTGTTGGTTTGTGTAATTTCTTTTTTCCCTTAGTTTTTACTTCCTCTAAGGGTTTATTTGGCTCAAATGGTTTTTGGCAAGTTTGATATCGGCTTAATAATCTTAAATTGGGTAATTTCAAAAACAAAAACAGCTGTTTGGGCTTTTGTGTTTCAAGAGGGTGTAAATTTTCGAGACAATCTTACGAATAATTTTTTTAGATATTATTATTTTTACACAGGCATAGCTTGTGTTATAGTATGAACTATCTTTTTTTTCCAATCATAGTCGCAAATATTGTTGCGATACAATTGTTGCGACTAAATGTGTTATCGGTCATATTTTTGCTGTATGCGAATTGCAACTTCACCTCTGTATTAAAAATATAGATTGTTTCCTACATTCTGGCCTCCGTTTAGTTTTCTACTTTTGAGTTGCATCGCAGATGCTACACAGCTTTGAACCATTCTTCGTTTTCTTGATCGTAATGTATTCGTCCGTAAAAATCGACTAGATCTTTCGAAGAAAAAGAAGCTGTTTTTTTTGTTTTCATTTTTTTGTTTTCGTTTTCTTCACGTAATTTATTAAGAGTAATGAATGTAGTGAGTACTTTTATATAGATCTTGATGTTTTTGTGCATTTTTTTTCAGAAAAAAGTCTTAAAATTTGTTCACGCTCAGTTTTATTTTCGCAGTTTGACTTTTGATTTCTTTTTAAGTTCAGTTAAAGGAAGGTTAACTCCACTACTGAACAGCAAAACTGAAAAGGTAACAGTAAACGTGATCGAATTCTTGTTTTGAAAGTGGAATTTAATTATCGATTTTCGCAGCGAAATAAAAGTTTTTCCTATTGATCCAGGTTTCTCAATTTGGGTTATTTTTTTAAACAAGGGTCAATCATTAATTGTTCTAGAAATTCAAAGTTCATTTTTTCAAGATCCGATGAAGTTAGATGAGCATCTTATATAGGTCGCGATGTTTTTTTTCCGTTTTTTCAGGAAGTCTTGAAATTTGTTCATGTTCAAAATAAGTTTTTCGGGGTTTGGCTTCTGATTTATGTTTCAGTTCTGATCATTTCCTTTGCTAAAAGGAAGGTAAACTCCACTATTGAACAGCAAAAGTGAAATGGTTACGGAAAACGCGATCGACTTCTAGTTTTGAAAGAAGAATTTAATTATAGAATTTCCCAGCGAAATAAAAGTTTTACCTTTTGATCTAGTTTTTTCATGTAGTGCTAATTCATCAAAAAAGTGTCAGTCATAACTTGGTATTGAAATTCAAAGAGCGTTGAAGCCATCTGTTTTTTTTTAAATTCGAAATTTGAGATTTTTCTGTTTACTTGCGTTGATAGAATCTTTTCCAACTGTTAGTTGGCTATGTTTTTCTCGGAAGTTCGAACGGTGATATTGTTTCAAAAAACAACTAAATATATTTTTTCTGTTCATTCATAGACCCTTTTACAGCTGTCTGTTGGCTGTTTTACACTAGCCAGCTTGTGAGCTCGTGTATTAGTATGTCGAATAGTGAATTAGTTTTTTTCCAAGCTAACTCTCAAACAAAAGTGCTCATTTGGTGGCACTTATGCTGTAATCACGATCTGTAACATTGAAATTTTCCCAGCATCTGTTATCTGCTTTTTTTCCTGATAAAAGCAAAAGAGCTGAGCTTCGCTTCTGCGTTTAATTTTATATTCGGTCCACTCTGAGCTTTCTTGAGGTAACTCGAATAAAATAACCAGATGTAATAGTTTTTTATCCATTTCTAAGGCGTTATCGGAAAAATAACGTTCGGGTTTAAAGTATAGCTTTTGGGTCGCTGAGATAAACTTAACTCCAAAATTTTTAAAATTAGAAAATTCAGAAACGACATTTACAATTTTTTTACCGTTGTAGCAAGTTTCACTGAGATGGTGAGACAACGCACTCTTCAAAAGGGCCTCTTCTAGATACCCAACTATCACACTTTTGCCTAAATGTTTCTAGTAACTCAACAATCATACTTGCACCAGCTTCTTTGCATAGTGCCTGAAATCAAGAAATTTGGGGTCAATTTGTCAAGTCGAGTCATACCTAGTTGGCGGAGTTCAGCTCTTGTGACAGTCCTGTCTCGTATCCCAAGCACTAATAATCAGCTACGATAACTTCAAGTTTCTCCAGTCTCTGTTTACGCGTCGGCATACTAAATATCAATCTGGTTACCAGGTAAACGAGTTGTTAAGGTACCGAGGTTGGCTGGTTTTATGCTCTTGGCTAAAAATTAAATTAAACGTGAACAACCTTCAAAGTAATGTTGAGCATCAAAACAAAGCAGCTAATTATGGTTTAAAACTTAAAGCTGACAGATTTAAACTGTTTGCAAATAAATTGGTTGATGCTTATTTGACTTCTGTCAGAAGGTGTTATGTTATTACAGATTAGTCTATGTTATACTGGCATCGCAGTACTCTTGTCACCGGTAGATCATATGTATAAAAATGAGTTCGGAAAAAGACAAGTCCGAACTGGATAAGTACATCAAGTTTTTCTGTCTGAAGACGATCGAACTCATCTACAGTTGCAGACAGAAGAACACAGGTCCAGTGCTGCAGAACGTGGATCCCAACTCCAGGCCTTGGTTCAATATCCAGACTCCAGAAGTGCCAGAGGTAGTTTGAACACTAAAACGAGTATTGTTAAAGCGCCACCTTGTACGCTTTGATGTAGTTATTTAGGTTTTGTTTTGTATCAGGAAGAGTGTGCAATATAAACGAGTTGATTAACTCTGCGAGTGTCTTAGCGCTGTTTCTCCATCTTATATTATTTATTAAATGGAAGTCTAATGCGCTATGGATGCAACGTTTTTACTCAATCCAAGCATAGTCTATTATTACGAAGAATTTTTTCTAACTTAAGTGGCAAATAAAAGTGTTAATTTGGTGTCACTTTTGTTATATTTCAATTTAATCTTATTTCAGCTTATTTAAGCATAAACAATTTAATGGCATATTTTGTTGCTATATTTTTGGTTAGTGTTAGGTTCTGTTTGAAAAAACATGTATTATGAAAATGCATGGGATTTGTTGTTTTTCGTTACTTTTGCAACGCTTTGACAATTTTTTGCACTAATGGAAAACCTATTACTCTTCTATGTGCCTGCATATTTTGCAAGTCTTTTTTCATTTTACCTTACGTTTTACGGCCTTCGAAAGTTTCAATAGGAGGATTTTTGGCGTATTTATTTTGATGTTTTTTTCATTTTCTCAAATTTTAAATGCATAAATCTGGGAGATGAAGGTGTTAATCAAAAGAACAAATTTGGTGATCTCCCCTTATCAATGGCTGTTCTTTAATTTTGGTAGAGAAAAGATATGGCCTCAATAAAGCCCGTTTTTTGTCATTTTGGTTAGTTTTTTTTAAACTTTTTTCTCAAAAACTACCCTGTCAAATCGGAGATTGAAGGTTTACCCGAAAAAAATAAAATGAACCTGCACAAGCGCCTATGCCTTATGTTCTGCAAAAATAATGGCCTTAGAAAATATCCAATTTTTGAAATTTTGCCCGTTTTTTGGAAAGTTTTTTTCTTCAAAAACTAACCTGCTGATTCTGAGGATGACAGCTCATTAAAACTAACATGGTGCTTAGATTTTCCCTGCGTGATCTGTTTCACCCTTTTTTGTAGAAAAGCTAGTATGGACTTGAGAAAATTCATTTTCAAATTTTTATCTTAGAACCTTAGTCACAATTCCCGAAAACTAGCTAAATCTGATTTTAAGGGTTCAATCAGAAAATTTTGTTTGGAGACCTGAGGTTTTTCCCATTTTTTATAGAGAAAAGTCTAAGGATTTAGGAAAAGTCAAAAATATAACTGAAACTTCACAAATTTGTAAATTTACCGTGTCTGATTTTTTTCATTTTTGATGAATTTGTTATGACATATGTTTTGTTTTCGGATCAACAGGTTTCGACCCAAAACTCATCGCCTTTGTTGCCGCTCGGTAAATGATTTCCATTACTAAAGGCTTGTTATGAACTTCATTTGATACAAATTATTTTTGCAAGTAATTTTTTCCAACATAATTTTTCAGAAAATTTTATTGACTCTCTTTTTTTGTTCACCATTTTGTTGCGAAATGTGTTTTTTTTTGCATCGCAAGTGTTGCGAAGCTCCGCCTGGTTTCTTTGTGAAACATTTTTTAACCCGCTCTACTCAGATCTTGTAGTTTTTAGGATGTTACTTCAGATTAAAGAGTTCCTGGAATCGATCTATCCAACGGTAGGTTTTTGTGACCAAAAAAATGAGCTTGACCTAAAAGTTTTTTTAAAAAAAGTGTTTGTTCTAATAAAGGCAAACACGGATTTTAAGTTTTGAATTGATTACAGCTGTGATGAAACAGTTCAGTTTTAGGCCCATACAATTTGTTGGGCGCAATTGGTTGTTTCTGCTTTTATTGCTTTGAAATTTTAAAACAAATTGATTTCAATTAATTCAATGTTCCTAGTAACCTTGTTTAGGTGGGCAAAGAAGCTAAGCGAGTACTTGATAAGCAGCTACCTTCTCCTCAGAAGTCGCTCATCATCCAGACGTATATCCACCTTCCGCCTAACAACAAGACAGTGATTGAAGCCTGGAAAATATCCAGCTCAGACGAATGCGACAAAAATGTGAAACTCATCACTGGAGTATATGCAAAATTAGGTAAGTCCCGGAGGCACAGACAGGGCCAGTATATTTAAAAGAAAAGTAACCGGAAGTATCTCAAATTGATTATAAAAGAAAGAGTGATCAATCTATATTTAAATTAGAAGAGCCGGGCACTGCATTTAGTCCACAATGTTCCGAACGCAGTCATCATAACGGATTTAATAAGTTCTTTCTTTTCCATTTCAGTTTTTTTAAGTTTTTTTTCTAATTTTTTTTTTAATTTTAGTTTTTTCCGTTTTAGTTTTTGACCTGTGGGAGGGAACTTAGTATTGGGTGTAATGTTCTTCTGCGCAAAATCAGGTATTATAACAGCTTTTTTTAAAATTTTTTTTATCTTTTTAGTTTTTGACCTTGAGGTAGGGAACTTAGTATTAGGGTCTGTTGTTTTTCTACGCAAAATCAGGTATCATAATGGATTTAAAAGTTAACTTTTTTGATTTTAGTTTTTGACCCTGTATGAGGGCACTTAGTATTAGGGTCTGTTGATCTTTTACGCAAATCAGGTATCATCAACGGATTTTTAAAAAATTCTTGTTTTAATTTTAGTTTTTGACCCTGTGGGAATGAACTTACTATTAGGGTGTGTTGTTCTTCTACGCAAAATCAGGTATCATAATGGATTCAATATTTTTCCATACAGTTTTTGAATCTGTGGGAGAACTTAGTGCTAGTGTGTGTTGCTCTTGAACGCAAAATTAGGTATCATAACGGATTTTATAAAAGTTTCTTACAATTGGGGGGGGGGAACTTACTATGAATGTGTGTTCTTCTACGCAAAATCAGGTACCACAAAGAAATGTCGTAGGATGCTGAATCAGGAATCGTATTACAGGCCTTTTGAATGATATTTAACAAGCGATTGTGCGTGTGTTCTATTGTGCTGTCACTCCACTTTCTCTTCCATTTTAGGTCGCACAATTTGCTGCGAGGTTTGAGAAAAGTTTATCAAAATGTTAGGTTTTTAGGGACGTTTTTATAATGATATCGGCTCTCTGAGCTCAAAACATATTAAGTTGTGTTCATCTATATCTATCTATCTATCTATCTATACTATATTTAAATGCGAGTGACATCTATCGCCCATGTTGAAGCATAATAATTTTGCATGTTTAACAAAAGAATTTTTTCATGTTTAAGCTATATCATATATTACAATGCTTGAGAAAACTTTTCAATTATTTTTCTGCAAGGTCAATAATTTTTCAGTAATTTTTTTCGAGGCCAAATTAAGTCTGTCTGTCCGTATACCTGCTTTTTCATTTAATTTGACTATGTCTGTCTACCCGTCTCCCAATTTTTAACTTTCAATTTTATTTCGAAGATTGAGTTCAAAATAAAACTACTGTCAAAATGTTGTCTCCAATTCTTTCTCTTTATCTGGATTTTCCATTTTTGTTCTGTCTTTTTTTCGATCCTTTTTTGATTTTTTCAATTTTCGTTTTCTTTTTTTCGATCTTTTTTCTATAATTTTTTTCAATCTTTTCGATCCCTCTTATTTATCTTTTTTTTTTCTGTCTTTTTTTCGATCCTTCTTTTTCAATCTTTTTCGATCCTTCTTTTTCAATCTTTTTCTATCCTTCTTTTCGATCTTTTTTCTTCTAGTTTTTTAATATATATTTTTTTGATCCTCTTTCTTCCTATATTTCTTTTTCAATCTTTTTTCTATTTTTTTAATATATTTTTTGTAATTTAAAACTTGAATTTTCAAAAAACAAAATTTTTTTTTTCCAAATTTGAAATTCTTTAACCTGTAGTTGGGTGCTGTCAGGGTACTCTCCGAAGTTGCGAATCTTGCCTCTAAATATGACTGCTCGAATGCTTGTAGTTTTCGAGATATGACGTTTTTGTGATTTCTTCAAAAAGTTTTCAAAAAACTTGATCTTATTTTTGTTTTCAAATGCACTACCCTTTATTTGGGTGCTGTCAGGTACTCTCATGAGTTGCCAATCTTACCTCCAAATAGGACTGCTCAAATACTTGTAGTTTTTGAGATATGACGTTTTTTGTGTTTTTTTTTCAAAAAAGGTTGAATTAATTTTTTTTTCAAAGTTTAAAATTCTCAACCCTGTAGTTAGGGGCTATCAGAGTACTCTCAGGTCTTGCGAACCTTGCCTCCAGTTATGACTGCTGGAATATTTGTAGTTTTCGAGATATGACATTTTTTGTGATTTTTTTCAAAAAATCTAAATTAGTTTTTCACCAAATTTGAAATTCCTTACCCTGTAGTTGGGTGCTGTCAAGGTACTCTCAGAAGTTGCGACTCTTTTCTTCTAATATGACTGCTCGAATCATTGTAGTTTTCGAGATTTGAAGTTTTTTTGTGAATTTTTCAAAAAGTTTTCAAAAAATTTGATGTTATTTTTGTTTTCAAACTTTGAAATGCCTTACCCTGTAGTTGTATGATTTCAGGGTTTTCTCGGGGGTTGCAGTTCAACTATGACTGCTCAAATCTATCTAGTTTTTGAGATATTACGTTTTCTGTGATTTTTCGAATGAATTTCAGAAAACTTAACGGAATTGTTTTCTGCAAAATTTGAAATTCCTAACTCTGTAATTGGGTGCTGTCAGAGTACTTTGAAAGGCTGCAGATCTGGTTTCAACATATGCGGTTTTTCATGAGTTGTCAAAAGTTCGAAGCACTGGAGGTGCGTTACACGCTAGTAATTTGTAAAGTTTTGGGGTTAGAATGTTTGCGATTTTTCGTTTTGCTGGACAAAATTAGCGCGTTTTCATAGACTTATCGATGATCAGCAACGCGTAAGTGCGGCTTATATGAGCGCGGCTAATTAATGCGAATTCCGACTCGTTAACCTAGTTGTTCCAAATTGAGCTGAGGCAAGCTAGTCAGTCTGAGTAATAATAATAACCTACTAGGATCAAATTATATTATAATGTAATGTTCTTCTGCGCAAAATCAGGTATTATAACAGCTTTTTTTAAAAATTTTTTTCTCTTTTTAGTTTTTGACCTTGAGGTAGGGAACTTAGTATTAGGGTCTGTTGTTTTTCTACGCAAAATCAGGTATCATAATGGATTTAAAAGTTAACTTTTTTGATTTTAGTTTTTGACCCTGTATGAGGGCACTTAGTATTAGGGTCTGTTGATCTTTTACGCAAATCAGGTATCATCAACGGATTTTTAAAAAATTCTTGTTTTAATTTTAGTTTTTGACCCTGTGGGAATGAACTTACTATTAGGGTGTGTTGTTCTTCTACGCAAAATCAGGTATCATAATGGATTCAATATTTTTCCATACAGTTTTTGAATCTGTGGGAGAACTTAGTGCTAGTGTGTGTTGCTCTTGAACGCAAAATTAGGTATCATAACGGATTTTATAAAAGTTTCTTACAATTGGGGGGGGGGGGGAACTTACTATGAATGTGTGTTCTTCTACGCAAAATCAGGTACCACAAAGAAATGTCGTAGGATGCTGAATCAGGAATCGTATTACAGGCCTTTTGAATGATATTTAACAAGCGATTGTGCGTGTGTTCTATTGTGCTGTCACTCCACTTTCTCTTCCATTTTAGGTCGCACAATTTGCTGCGAGGTTTGAGAAAAGTTTATCAAAATGTTAGGTTTTTAGGGACGTTTTTATAATGATATCGGCTCTCTGAGCTCAAAACATATTAAGTTGTGTTCATCTATATCTATCTATCTATCTATACTATATTTAAATGCGAGTGACATCTATCGCCCATGTTGAAGCATAATAATTTTGCATGTTTAACAAAAGAATTTTTTCATGTTTAAGCTATATCATATATTACAATGCTTGAGAAAACTTTTCAATTATTTTTCTGCAAGGTCAATAATTTTTCAGTAATTTTTTTCGAGGCCAAATTAAGTCTGTCTGTCCGTATACCTGCTTTTTCATTTAATTTGACTATGTCTGTCTACCCGTCTCCCAATTTTTAACTTTCAATTTTATTTCGAAGATTGAGTTCAAAATAAAACTACTGTCAAAATGTTGTCTCCAATTCTTTCTCTTTATCTGGATTTTCCATTTTTGTTCTGTCTTTTTTTCGATCCTTTTTTGATTTTTTCAATTTTCGTTTTCTTTTTTTCGATCTTTTTTCTATAATTTTTTTCAATCTTTTCGATCCCTCTTATTTATCTTTTTTTTTCTGTCTTTTTTCGATCCTTCTTTTTCAATCTTTTTCGATCCTTCTTTTTCAATCTTTTTCTATCCTTCTTTTCGATCTTTTTTCTTCTAGTTTTTTAATATATATTTTTTTGATCCTCTTTCTTCCTATATTTCTTTTTCAATCTTTTTTCTATTTTTTTAATATATTTTTTGTAATTTAAAACTTGAGTTTTCAAAAAACAAAATTTTTTTTTCCAAATTTGAAATTCTTTAACCTGTAGTTGGGTGCTGTCAGGGTACTCTCCGAAGTTGCGAATCTTGCCTCTAAATATGACTGCTCGAATGCTTGTAGTTTTCGAGATATGACGTTTTTGTGATTTCTTCAAAAAGTTTTCAAAAAACTTGATCTTATTTTTGTTTTCAAATGCACTACCCTTTATTTGGGTGCTGTCAGGTACTCTCATGAGTTGCCAATCTTACCTCCAAATATGACTGCTCAAATACTTGTAGTTTTTGAGATATGACGTTTTTTGTGTTTTTTTTTCAAAAAAGGTTGAATTAATTTTTTTTTCAAAGTTTAAAATTCTCAACCCTGTAGTTAGGGGCTATCAGAGTACTCTCAGGTCTTGCGAACCTTGCCTCCAGTTATGACTGCTGGAATATTTGTAGTTTTCGAGATATGACATTTTTTGTGATTTTTTCAAAAAATCTAAATTATTTTTTCACCAAATTTGAAATTCCTTACCCTGTAGTTGGGTGCTGTCAAGGTACTCTCAGAAAATGCGACTCTTTTCTTCTAATATGACTGCTCGAATCATTGTAGTTTTCGAGATTTGAAGTTTTTTTGTGAATTTTTCAAAAAGTTTTCAAAAAACTTGATGTTATTTTTGTTTTCAAACTTTGAAATGCCTTACCCTGTAGTTGTATGATTTCAGGGTTTTCTCGGGGGTTGCAGTTCAACTATGACTGCTCAAATCTATCTAGTTTTTGAGATATTACGTTTTCTGTGATTTTTCGAATGAATTTCAGAAAACTTAACGGAATTGTTTTCTGCAAAATTTGAAATTCCTAACTCTGTAATTGGGTGCTGTCAGAGTACTTTGAAAGGCTGCAGATCTGGTTTCAACATATGCGGTTTTTCATGAGTTGTCAAAAGTTCGAAGCACTGGAGGTGCGTTACACGCTAGTAATTTGTAAAGTTTTGGGGTTAGAATGTTTGCGATTTTTCGTTTTGCTGGACAAAATTAGCGCGTTTTCATAGACTTATCGATGATCAGCAACGCGTAAGTGCGGCTTATATGAGCGCAGCTAATTAATGCGAATTCCGACTCGTTAACCTAGTTGTTCCAAATTGAGCTGAGGCAAGCTAGTCAGTCTCAGTAATAATAATAACCTACTAGGATCAAATTATATTTTGGATTTTGGAGTACTTTTATTTTTGAAGTTAATTTTCCTTCAAAGACATATTTTGTACGTTCTTATCATTGTCTTTGTAAGCTGTTGTAGAGCAATTTTTTTAAGTGTGAAAAAACTTAATTAGGCCCTAATGGTTTTTGTTCGGTTTGTTTTTTGCGTGTTTTTCTTTTCAGGAGAATCTAAATTTGTCTCGCTCAACTTTGATTTTTCATGATTTGACTTATGAAGTCTTATTAAGTTCACTTCATTTCCGTTGTTAGGACTAAGGCAAACTCCACTAGCGAACAGAAAAACTGAACAAGTCACGAAAATGAATTATAGTTTGAGAAATGGACTTTAGTTTTCTGAATTCCAAGAGGAATAATAAAAGTTACCTTCTGATCCAGTTTTCTATAAATGGGATATTACATTTTGTGTCTTGATTTTTCCCATTCACCACGGTTCCTTGCAAAATGTTTTCTTTCCCTGAGTTGAATCAAATGAGTTTTTAAATGAACAGAAAGTAAGCTAGAGAATGAGTGAATCAAGGTTACTTTCAAAGTTCTTTGCAAAATATCGCTGTTTTGAGTTAATTTTTCAAGCCTGAAACTGGGATATATGTGGCACCACAGAAAAGACCAGAAACAAGCTCGATGAAGAGCTTAGTTCATTCTTAGATGAAGGGTTACCGACTGTGTTTCATGATACTCCTTTTGTACAGTAGTAATCGTTTAGTGGGGAGATTGATTTAAAGTGTATGGTGGTTGTAAGCTGAACAAGGACAATCTAGTTTTGAAAAATTAAATGCATAAAGTATTTTTGATGATTCCTATTAAATGTCTCAAAATAGTAGTAAACTTTTCGTTTTTAAGCTGAACAGTTATTTTAGGCTTGGTGTTAAATCATGGTTAGATCCCGGTTCGAATAATCACGATGACAAGGTTTTTCTTTTAATAGACTCGTTTGATTGATTGGCTGATTCTTCGCTTTAGTTTGCGTTATGCAATTATGCCTGAAATATTTGATTTTGAATAGAAAGAGTAGCTGAAAATGCACATAACTGCCATAGACCGAATGTAAGCTGTTGAACCAATGCAAACAAGAGCTGCAAGAACATTCATTTTTTTCTGCAAAAACATTTACGTAAAGGTGACTTGTAACGTTTCTTTATTTTTAGCAACTTTACTCAAAAGCATTCTCTGTGTCTCGCGTACTACGGCTGCTTACAAATTCTGCCGAGAGAACAAAACGTTCAAAGTGGAGACTGAATTTTATTTTGGGGAGGTGTCTTCAGCCTTGCTGGATGACGTATGTGACAAACCGAGAAGATTAGGCACTGTAGCCACCCCCTTTAGCTCCCTATCTGTGACAGTATTCTGTCGACATATCAAGCAAATTGAGAATTTGGTGTCGAATCAAAGACAAAAGAGCTCTCTCGTGAACTCAGCGAACGAGCCTACAGTTCAAAATCAACGAAATTTAAGTGCGGCGGACAAATTAGCTTCGGATAGTTCAACTGAATTTCAGCCTCCAAGAAAGGTCGGTTTGAGTTTGAACTGCTATTTGTGTTTATTTGGATTGAGTTGGCAAATGTTCGGAAAGATTATTTTGGGGAGTGACAAAATTGGCGGAAAAACTGCGACTATTTGATTTTCAAACTGAACTAAATATACAGGGTACAATAATACTACTTTTAGGTTGTGAAATTAGCTTGTTTTGCAATAAAAGGGTCGTTTGCTTAAGAATCAGCCAGGTTCAGTTGATTTTGGTGGTATATTTAAGTTGATCGTAATTTTTAACAGGTTCCAGAGTATCCTATAACACCGGCGTTTGCAGTCCAAGCCGAAAAAAACAGCAAAGATCTTTTATTTGAAACACCCTTCGAGCAGTTTTTCGCTGAGACATCTCACGATTTTCTCAGACCAGATCAAGAAAGTTTGAGAACAAACGATATTGTATCTGCGCAGTCTAACGAATATTTGAATCGTTTCAAGCAACAGCAACCGCCTTTCCTGACCAGAGTGGGAAGTGGTACAGGCTCGAACCGCTCATCTGTTTCTTCGAGGAAGAACTCGAATTCGCGTCCTGGGAGTCTAACTGAAATGAGTCAGCCAGCTTTCATCTCGCCGACTGATTCGGTCTCATCCCACCAGAAAACAGACTCGAATTGTTCCTCGGCGGATAACGAAACAGATGTTAGTCAGTTCTTCAGAGTCGTCCAACAAGCGTCCTGTTTGAGATCAAATGAACCACAAGAAGGCCAAGTTATCAGTCACAATATGCAGCTGGGAGATTACGTCACATCATTTAATGACATCGGAGACGAACTGAAAAAACTTACGACCGTGTTGAATGATTGATTTTTTCATTGTATATATTTTTCGTTAACATTAAATAATGATTTTATGGACTTGCTGTCTGTCGTCTTCTGATGTTTTGTTGGATCGAGGTATATGCGATGAGAAAAGTAGAAAAAAGGTATGTGGAATAAAAAGTTGTCCAAAAAAGACAAATATGTGGGGTAGAAATGAAATATAAGAAAACAAGGGTCTAATCCTCAGAAAAAATGAAACCATTTAATTTTTTGGTTCGTGATTAGCTCGATTAAGGCATGAGAAAAGTTTCTCGTAGGTGCAACAGTCACTTTAGGGGAGGATCTAGGATTTTTTCAGGGGGTTGGGTTGGCTGGATTATCAAAATGTTTTCAAAAAATTTAACGAATTTGGAAAATTTTGACCAAAAACTTTGATTTCCGGCGCAGGATCTCCCCTCAGTCTGTATTGACGAATTCATAACCATTTTAAGTTGCTTCATTCTTGTCAGTACAATTCCAGCAAATCTCATGAACACATAATTATTGTTCGAGAGCAATAAATGCGGATTAACTGTTTGGCCCTGCTCATTCAGGGTCTTTAAAATTTTATTTTTTGCTCACGATGCTTTTAAGAGTAAAATCCAGTAGATTAACATTGTTGCTAAAGTCTATTCATAATTAATTGTTCTTAGTTTCGTTTTCAGGACTAAGTTGAAACCGCAGGGTTGACACACCTTAATTTTTATTATCGCAAATCTCGATTGATTTTTGCATAACAATATTCCTTGCACAGACAAATTTCGGGAAAAATAAATCAAATTGTTTAGCAATTGTCGTTTGAATTTTCTGTTTTT